TCCTGCTGTTTTAGGCACCCAGTTTTGTTGCTCGGTTGGGGCGCCCCAGGAAAGTAATCCCATCAGCCTTGTGGATGAGTTTTTCCATCGATGCCTTTCCCCCACGGTCGGGGATCTGATGGAGCTTGTACCAGCCTCTCCTTAATCCTAAAGGATGGCTGATGTTTGCATGCCTAGAGTGATTTTCAAGCTCCCAGGTCTGGTATGTGAACTGGTGTTGGCCAGGAGGGAGTCTAGTGCCTTACTCACCATGCCGCCTGCTGGCCAGTGGCAGACAAGAAACAATCTCCTTCCTTCCTTCCTTCCTTCCTTCCTTCCTTCCTTCCTTCCTTCCTTCCTTCCTTCCTTCCTTCCTCCCTTTTTCTTTCTTTCTTTTTTTTAGTGGTTTTTGCCTTAAGGCACAAGCGCTTGCCAGAGAGAGAGAGACAGACAGACAATGAGAGGGACAGTGAGAAATCACCCTCCAGGGGGATGGCCACCCGCAGTCCCGTCTCCTCCATCCTCCTCTTGGGCCCTCCTCCAGCATGCACTCACATGCACCAGCGTGAGTTTCAAGCTACCAGGTCCGGGACACAAACCGTGGTCCACCGTGTGGAAGCCCAGTGCCTTAACCACTACACCACCTTCTAGCCCTACAGGGCTTCTTTCTGAGGCTCTGCAAATGTTCCAGGATTAACTGGTGCTGATGTCTACAGAGCTGTATAGATATGAGTAAAACCAGCTACTCAGACAAAAAGAAAAAGAAAAAGATCAAACGTGGGCATGCCAAATTATTCTTGTTGACCTGGATGGGAAGAAGCAAAGTTCTGGGCTGCTGCAGAACTGAGAACTGATAGTCTGTTGGTGTTGAAGGGTGGAATAGTTCATTCCATCATTTCGGTGGAAGCGCGAGAATTGCAGGCAAGCGTGCGTAACTCAAAACAAGGACCTCTCCCCTTACCTTTGTACCTCCCGTTCCAGCCGCCATACTGGTGGTTGCCAATTTGCGACTCTAAGGATCCGCCGTGATCGGATGTAAAATACACCAGGGTCCTGTCCGCCAGACCTTCCCTGTCCAAGGTGCCAAGGATCTGTCCTGCAAAGCACAGATGCGTTTGCACTGGTCAAAATCAAAATCAAAATGAAAAAGTATGAACTATATTGGGTTATCTGGAGAGTCATGATGCATTTTTCCATAGACAAGTATAGAAAACTCCTCAAGACCTTGCCGATGACCTAACACCTATATTAGGTGCACAAGCATGTGCGTGTGCACGCATGTGCGTGCGTGCGCACACACACACACTCATATTATATATATATAAAAGAAGGAGATTAGAATGTGAACATCTTTGGGGACATTATTCTACCAAATGGGGATAAAGCTGTGACTACCTTTGAGGTGATCATCCAGTCTACGATTACAGGATTAGGATCTGGATATCTTTGACACACTCACCTCACATGCCACGCTTGTGTTATGAAATGCACCCTGTACAATGCAATGAAGATAGATACTGCAACTTTACAACCTTCAAGTTCAATCTGATTGACATGTTTGCCTTTTGTGTTCTAGCTTTTTTAAAAAAATTTTCTTTACATCTTTGCAGAAGGGTGCACGCACTTACCGAGGAGAGACAGTGAGGGGGGGAAGTGAGAAATCACCTTCCATGGGGAGTGGCCATGCTGCAATCTATTCTCCATTCTCCTGGGATTTGGGGCACGCGTGCACACACATATGGCTGATGTGATTCTGAAGCCACCAGGTCCAAGACTTGAACCACAGTTGGCCACATGGGAGTCCAGCAACGTAACCACTGCACCACCACCTAGCCCCCATCTTTCTTTTTAGGGTTTTTTTTTTTGGAGAGGTTTTCGCTATAGGGCGTGTGCGCTCGCCAGACAGACAGAGAGAGACAGAGAGACAGAAAGCGAGAAATCACCCCCCAGGGGGGATGGCCACGCCGCAATCCCTTCTCCTCCATTCTCCTCTCGGGATCTTGGGCACGCACGCACACGCGCCCGGCATGAGTTTTAAGCCACCGGGTCCGGGACGTGAACCGCGGTCGACTACGTGGGAGTCCAACTACATAGTCATTACGCCAACTGCTGGTTCCCCCGATCTTTCTTTACCTGTAATTAATCTCCACTTCTCCTTCTTTATTTCCTCTCCTGCTTTTTTTGTTTGTTTGTTTGTTTTGAGAGAGATTTATTATTTTTCTTTCTTTCTATAAGGTGTGTGTACTTGCTGAAGAGATAGAGATACAGAAAGCAAGAAATCACCCCCCAGGGGGATGGCCATGCCACAATCCCTTCTCCATTCTTCTCTTGGGGTTTTGAAACTCACTAAGTGTGAGTTTCAAGCTTCCAGGTCTGGGACTCGAACTGTAGTTGGCCATGTTGGGAGTCTAGTACCTCAACCACCGTGCCACCCGCTGGTCCCACCTCCTGCTTTTGCTGAATGAAGAGCCATTGTGTTTTCAGTTGGGAGGAAGACTTACCTACCATCCAGTCCATCTCCTCGACGTTGTCTCCATAGAGACCGTGAAGACTTTTCCCGAGGAAGCTCTCCGTGGTCATCAGAGGGGTGTGGGCGTGTAAGAAGGAGACAAAGAGGAGGAACGGTCTGTGCTTGTTCCTTCAAACGAAAGTAGACGCCGGATTTACTCATTTACTTCCTTTTGGCAAAGCAGAGCTTAACATGATGCAGATGTGAAATGCGGCTCTAACCATTCATACTCCGACTCAAGTGCCTTCACTCTTCTGCACCCCAAAGAGAAACGCACCGAACGCTTATACAGTCATATTTTTGTGTTTCAGAATCTTTTAAAATTTTTCTTTCTTTCTTTTTTTGGAGAGACTTTTGCTATAGTGTGTGTGTGGTCTTGTGGCAACTAAGACTTTCCTTCCCTTCCTTGAGATGGCCTGGATCCATCCACAAAGACTTCATGAACCAAACACCACTTAGCAAAGCTTAGCTCCTAAAGGTCCTACCCACTCCATGCCCTCATGGTGGAGCCCAAGCTTCTAGCACCTGAACCTCGGAGGGATGAGCCATATTGACGTGATAGTACCCCACACTGGCAAACATGCCTTTCTGGGTCATGGCCATCTCTCTTTTGAAATACCAACCTCAGACGAGAGCTATTCAGAATGCATCTTTTTGGGGATTTTTTTTTTTTTTAAGAGAGAGATTTTGCTATAGGGAGTGTATGCTCACCAGAGAGACAGAGAGACAGAGAGACAGAAAGTGAGAAATCATCCCTCCAGGGGATAGCCATGCCATAATCCGTTCCCCTCCATTCTCCTTTTGGGATCCTAGGCATGCATGCACTTGTGCCTGGCGTGAGTTTCAAGCCCCCAGGTCCTGTGTGCTCAGCCACACTGGAGGCCAGCATCTTAAGCACTAAGCCACCTGCTGGCACCAGAATGCATTTTCTTTTTTTTAATCAGCCAGTGTTAGGAAGACGTTAGCTCCTCAACGCTCACCTTTTGAGAAAGGACGAGGCCTCCTCCAGAAAAAGGGCGGTAGTTCTCTCGAAATGCATGGGCTGCTCTGTGATGGTGTGGTTTCTCATCACAAAGCAGTCCGCGTGAACAATCAGCGTCCCCACGAAACGTGAGGCCGTGAGGAGCAGCATGGCCCCGATGGTTGACCAGATGACTGGAGTCCATGAGACCACCAGCAGGTGGCTGAGTTTCCCAGCTGTGAGCGTGAGGCCGGCCAAGACCAAGATCTGGAAACAGAGACTGAGTCTGCGCTCTAGACCCACGCGCTTCTCTGAGAGCTCCCAGAAGGCACAGTCACCCATCATGGAGAAAGGCATGCCGTAGAAGTAGTCAAAGCCGTGGTTGAGTGGGTGGTGGCAGTGATCGTGGGAGGACTTGCAGTTGAGGCCCAGATGCCATTTCCCTGAAGGACGAGACGTGTGCTCGTGTGATGGGGCCAGCCGGTGGTGGATGATTGAGATGCTGAACTCCCACATGGCCGACCATGGTTCGAGTCCTGGACCTGGTGGTTTGCTTCCTCACTTTCTCACTCTCTCTCTCTAGTGATAGCGAATAAAGTGATAATAATAATAAAAATTAAATAAACAATTCTTTTTTTAAAAAATGTATGCTCAGGTGACAAAGGCATGGCCATCACTGGTCTGGGTTGCTTGTCTTGTCTCAGGCACTCTGTAGGATACTGGGAAGAGGCAAGGTTCCAGAGGGACAGGGGGGAGCAGTTCTGGTTCATCGTTGTGTTGGTAAACAGAAATACCTGAGGCTGGGTGACTCCATAAAAATATAGGTTTAGGGCCAGGAGGTGCAGTGCTGGTTACTGTCTTGGACTCCCACATGGCTGATCGTGGTTCGAGTCCCGGACCTGACCTCTCTCTGGTCAAACTAAAACATGATCATAAGAAATCAAATTAAGGAAACAATTCTTTTAAAACTTAAAAGAAAAATAAAGGTTTAGGGGCCAGCAGGTGGTATAGTGGTAAAAATGTTGGACTTCTACATAGCTGACTACAGTTCGAGGCACTTGAAAATCACGCCAGGCACATGTGCATGTGTGCCCCAAATGGAGTTTGATTCCTGGACCCTCTGGCTTGAGAAACACGCTGGGTGCATTTGTGTGTGTGCCTAAAATCCCAGAAGGAAGGCACAATGTAGGAAAAGGGATTGCGGTGTAGCTGCCTCCCACAGCGAGTGTTTTCTTACTCTCCCTGTCCTCTCCTGTCTCTCTCCAGTGAATGCACATGCCCTCACCAAAAAAAAAAAAAAAAAGAAAAGGAAAAGAAGAACAAGGTGTACCTATCAGTCCAGTGGCATAGCCTCTGTCTTTCAGTATTTTTGCAAAGGTTGTCTCATTTGTTGGAAGGCCTCCAGATACTGCGGTCCACTGAAGAACACGAGACCCATTGCTGGAAACCATACCTACGGTCAGTCATTAAAAAAATGTTACTATGACACAGTTGTATTTGGCCTTATTTATTTTATTTAATTTTTAAAGAATTTTTTTATTTAACTCTATTTATTTAACTTTTGACCAGAGAGGAACACAGAGAGAGAGAGGGAAAGTGAGAAAGCAAGCTGCCATGTCTGTGACTCGAACCACTGTAGGCCATGTGGGAGTGTCCAGCACCCTTAACCACCATGCCACCTGCCGGCTCCAACAATTGTATTTTATTTATATGCCTATTTAAGATTATTTAAAATTAGAATATTGGGCCAAACTGTCCCTTATTGCAAATGACATTGAACATTTCCTTTCTTCCCCGAGAGTTTGTTTCATGGATCACATGTCTGGTAGCTAAGGAAATGATGAAGTTATTCAGAGTTAGCAAGGAGACAGACTGTCTTGCTGTATTGTATGTAGGTTACTAAAGACAGGAGAATTAAGTGCAAGTGAAATGAAATGACTTTCTCAGTTTAACACACTCTTTTTTTAAACTCGCTAGAGAGTGTGTGCTGACCAGAAAGAAATAGAGAGAGAGAGAGAGAAAGAGAGAGAAAGCTAGAAAGTACCCCTACGGGGCAAGGTCATGCCACAATCCCTTCTCCTACATTTCTCCCTTCTCTGGGGATTTTGGTCACATATGGTCATGTGCCCGGCATATTGTCTAAGCCATCAGGTGTGGGATTTGAACCGCAGAGTCAGCCATCTGGAATCCAGCAACAGAACCACCACACTACCCACTGGCCTTGCACCAAACTCTTCTATTAAAAATGTTTATTTAGGGGCCGGCAGGTAGTGTGGTAGTAAGGAGCTGGATTCTCACGTAGTCAAGTCCTGGACCCAGCAACTTAAACTCACGCCGGGTGTGTGTGCGTGCGTGCCCAAGATCCCCAGAGGAGAATGGAGGAGAAGGGATTGTGGCATGGACAGCTCCCCTGGGGAAGGGGGTGAGTTCTCACTTTCCCTCTCTATGTTTCTGTGTCTCTGGTGGGCACACACTGTCTAGTAGGAAAAATCTCTCTAAAAAGGAGAAAAAACTCCACACTCAGCTTATGCATAATATGCGTTTCCCATGAACTCTTTTAAGCCCCCGCATCTAGGAGCACACAGTATGGAAATAATCCGTGGGTGATTCTCTGCTCCCTCATTACCTACGGATCTCTCTCTATAACTATCGCTGACTCCCGTGTGATTGGGACGAGACAGCTCTCTTCACAAAGTCCCAAGGGTCCTACGCTTGAATACCCGTTTCAGAGACTTAAGGGAGCGTCATTCTGTCCAGCCCCACAGGAAGTTCCAAAGAAAGCCTCACCCGACCGCACTGGGTACCTCCCCGTCAGGAAGGCGGCCCTGCTGGGTGTGCACACGGACGCGGCAGCGAGGTGTTGAGTCAGGATCAGTCCATCCTCTGCAAGGCGGTCGATGTTTGGAGTCCTGCCAAGGGAACGGTGGACATCTTACTCCTTACAAACAAACCAGCAGGGCCAGCCAGTGGCATGGTGGTTAAGGTGCTGGATGTCACGTGGCCAACCATTGTTCAAGTCCCGGATGAGATGGCTTGCTTTCTCATTTTTCTCTTTCTCTCTCTCCGGTCAAATTAAAAAAATAATAAGAAATGAAGTGAAATAAATAAATAATTATTTAAAAGACAAATGGAAGCACACCCCACGTTAGGGATATTGGATGCATTTGAGCCGGAGTCAGTGGTATATGGGACCAGCAGATGGTGTAATGGTTATGTGGCTGGACTCTCACGTCATTGACCACGGTTCAAATCCCAGATCCGGAGGCTTAAAACTCATGTGGGGTGCGTGTGGATGCATGCATACCCAAAATCCAGAGAGGAGAAGGGATTGCAGCGTGGCCATCCCCGCCATGGGGTGATTTTGTGCTTTCTGTCTCTCTCTCTCTGTCTCTCTCTCCAATGAGTGCCTGTGACCTATAGCAAAAATCGATCTTTAAAAACAAACAAAGAAGCCATGTAGCCAGAGGTAGCGGTGCCGCCACTGATGCAGTGCAGGCTACTGAGCCCACTTGGGAAGGTGCCAGGTTCATGTCCTGGGGTCTCCTTATACACACTGCGGACACAGACAAGCCTGTGATTCTGGCTGACTGGGGCTGAGGGTGGATCATGGCATGGGGACCCTCTCAGAGGTGTGTGTGTGTGTGTGTGTGTGTGTGTGTGTGTGCTTCTGGAAGGATACCCTTTCCTTTTTCTTTTTCAAAAAAACAATGGAAGGATACCCTTTCCTTTTTCTTTTTCAAGAAAACAATGGAGGGGACCAGCAGCTAGCGTCATGGCTATGTCGCTGGACTCCCATGTAGTCGACCGCGGTTCGCGTCCTGGACCCGGTGGCTTAAAACTCACGCCGGGCACGTGTGTGTGCGTGCCCAAGATCCCGAGAGGAGAATGGAGGAGAAGGGATTGCGGCGTGACCATCCCCCCGGGGGGTGATTTCTCGCTTTCTGTCTCTCTGTCTGTCTCTGTCTGTCTGGCGAGTGCACGCGCCCTCTAGCGAAAATCTCTCAAAAAAAAAAAAAAATGGATACATCATTTTTGTTACAGTATAGACCGCCCAGGGGACGGGGTTCGAGCAGCGTGGGCAGCTCCTGTGGAATCCAGCTTCCAGCTTGCTGCATAAGGGCTTTTACCGTGCTGGGGAGTAACCCTTCTCCCCCCTTTCCCGAGCGATTCCCCGAGTTTTGCCTGATGGTGTCATTGCCATAGCAGCCGATGTCCCCAATGCCCACGTCGTCTGCCATGAGGAGAAGAAAGTTCGGCCGGGAGCCGGACACGTGGCCACAGAGGGACGCCTTCAAAGCCAGGAGCGTGCTGAGGGCTGCAGGGAGCCAGCGCCGGAGCCTGAAATGCAGGTACCCAAGGACACTCAGGGGTGTTCCCACCTGACTTCCAAAGCTCCTGGAAGTGGAAGTGAGGGTCCGTATTCTAGGAGACTCTGACAGTTTCCTCACATCTCAGAATAGCTTCCAGTAAATTCTTTGCATTTCTTTCTCAGTTAAAAACGTTCCATGCAGGGGCTGGCATGTCAGGTGTGGTCGTTAAGGGTGCTGGACTCCCTCATGGCCGGCTGTGGTTTGAGTCCCAGACGTGGTGGCTTGCTTTCTCGCTTTCTTTCTCTCTCACTGGTCTCATTGAATAATAATAACGACACTAGAGTTAAATAAAATAATTATTAAAATAAAAAAGTTCCATACAGAGACCAGCCCATGGCGTAATGGTTCCATCACTGGTCTCCCTCATAGTTGACCACAGTTTGAGTCCAGGACCTGGTGGCTTAAAACACTCGTGCCAGGCACATGTGCATGCATACTCAAAGTCCCGAGAGGAGAATGGAGGAGAAGGGATTGCGGCGTGGTCATTCCCTCGGGGGGTGATTTTTCACTTTCTGTTTCTCCATCTCTCTCTGTCTCTCTGGTGAGTTCACGCGCCCTATAGTAAAAATGTCTCTTTAAACAGTTCTGGGACCAGCAGTTGGCGTCATGGCTATGTCGCTGAACTCCCATGTAGCCGACCGCGGTTCGAGTCCTGGACCCAGTGGGTTAA